GGCCCCTAAAAACTGTTTTTGTCTATTTTGTTTGGTTGTAATATATTTGTTGGCAAGATAGTTTGACGTCTAATGGCCTTAAAAAGGACTGGTGAACTAAACTCTTTTTTGGCTAAAGTTTCCAGCAAACGTATCAGTATAAATATCTTGGGGATGTTCTTCTCTGGCCTGCTGTTATAGCATCATACTGATTAGGAGGAAAACTACAACTTCTGAAGCATTAGAGCTAGTTGTAGAGCTCTTTCCAAACGTCTCCTGGTGTTACTCTGGAGACGTTTATGTCTAAAGCAGCTTTTTTTGCAGAGGTCAGTGATTTTGGTGATCTAAGCTGTAGATATTGGTTCGCGATAGTTGCTTGTTAGAAACTGTTCCGTTTGCTTAAGTTTATTTTTTCTCCATATCTGTTAGGTTCATCTGGCAAAAATCTCAAAAAATTCGGTGATTCCTGGTTAAATTCTTAGAGTTAAGAAGGTAATGCAAGATCGTTAGTATTTGGAGTTTTTAGCATCGCAACGAAGGTCTTTAATCGTGACGTCTGCTAGTAAACGACTAACTTTATTTAACAATGTCCGGCTTTATATAGTCATTTTATGGCCAAAGCGTTGCCGGAAACAGTTGTTGTTTGTACATATCTTGTGGGAAAGGTAGTTCATCGTAAGATTGCCTTGAAAAAATTGGTGAAATTGATGGTAATTTAGTTAACGTAAAAACTTATGAGCGCCCTGAAAAGAGCTAATGGAGATACTTCCAATTATATCTTATTATTAGTTTTAATGCTGGAGAGTCAGCTGCAGGTAGCTTGACTTTTACCCTCGAAGTCTCTAAGTATGGTGACCGTGCTGGAAGTAAGTACGCTGCTGGCCAAAAGATATCTCGTCTTTGGGACGTTCTCCGGATAACCAACCACTCATCGTTAGTCGGAAAAGAACGGCCATGAAACCCTTAATTGCTAGAGCAGATTGTGCTCTGACTAGACGTCTCCTGGTATTACGCTGGAGACGTTAGCGATCGGAAAGCGTATTTATTGGCAGAATTCGTTTATCTTGGTGATTTGGGATGGAGTTCGACGTAAGTCGCTCTTACATTAGAGAACAGTGTTGTCGATAGCCGGAATACCTAGCTGCACGTCTTCCAGCTTTATGCTTTATGCATTGCCGGTGCATGACTACGATATCCGAAAATCTGAGCGTGGATGTTATAACCAGACTTACCTAATTTCATTGCAGGTAGCTTCGATTTAAATTATACGGCACCTAGCGGATCCTGCTAAATTAAAGTGAAAAGCTAGCATATTTTTGCAAAGTTTTAAGCTTATTGATTGCTATTAATTTTTTTAAGCTAAAAGCTGTACTTGAACCATCTAGGAAGTATCAAGAATCAGTATGTAAAATTTCAGCTAGATTAGTTGAGTAGTTTTCGCAGTTAGCGATTACAACGGTTTTTGCGACTTTGACTTATACATTAGTAAGATTAAAGGTCTTTTCCACATTATATACGGTCCGAAATGGTCAAAATTTTATGAGATATAAAGTTTTATAAGATGTGTGATCATTTAACATCGACTATGTGCTAATGTGCGTATCATACGTTACTGAAGCCTACTACAAACTTTGACTTATTAGAGTAACTCTATAAAATTGATTGCGGAAATGGCTCAGTCAATGTAAAGTAACATTGTCAACATAACCACTCACTTTTTAGCGGTTAAAAGTTTAAACTTTCTTTCAGCATAGTAACATTTCTATTAAACGTATAGGTAATTTTAATAGCCTATGGCACATAAAAAGTTGTAATTGAACTTCTCTCATAATTTGGGATCACTTGGTTCATTAGTTGCTGAGATTTTTAAGAAACATACAAATAAACACTGTCTCTTTCTACGTATATGTTTATGTATTTCGATATTGAAGTTATTTTGGTGAGTCTGTCAACACATCTACCCACACCCACCGTGATATCGCTAAAGCTTTGCCGAAGAAAAATACTAAAACATCTAGCATTTACGTTCTTCTTTTTATTGTACCGGTATATTCACTATATTTGTACATATGTAAATGAAATGAATATTTTCACATGTTTCCCTATTGTTATCGTTACTTCTAATAAATGGTCTTATTTATCTTATTAGTTTTACTTAAATTTTTGATGGGGTTACATGTATACTATATTATATAGTTGTTTGGACAAAAGTGAGTCTTAGCGCTGTCTGCTTTCACACAGCTTATTATTAGCTTCCCTTCAATTTACATAGTTATTTTCGTATTCTTCGATAATTTTTGATGCAATTATGTTTGAATAACACACTAA